TGTAAAAACAACATTTTTAGCTGCCCCATATGTCACGAAAATAAAAAAATTTAAAACACCAGAGTTTTTATAAAAAACTGGCAACGCGACCTCCAATTTTTTTTTCAAAATAAAAAATATGTTTCTTTTTTTCTCACAAATAACAATATTTTGATGCAGCGTTTATAAATTTACAAAAAGTGTTTGTGTAACTCTCTGTTTAAGGTAGCGTTTAAATTTTCTGGGCTTGGGATACGTTTAATATTTTAGTGTTTTCTAAGAATTTTTTTTTTTTTTATTTTGAATCCACCCTTTTTATTTATTTATTTTCTTCTATAATATAGCTATTTGCCCCTACTTTTAGTATTGGCCGCAAATATTTACAACGCGAAGAATAATACAGGTACTCGGTGACTTTTACATCGCGTTAAAATGTCTGTCATGAACATTCATCCACTTCACACTTCCACTCGAACAATTGGCCGTGTAAGCGTTGCAAACTCTCGACTTTGGAGAAGCAATTGGATCGTGTATACTTTGCATTATTTCGACTTTGGCGCCTTCTCGCGGCTTTCGCTGGCAATAAAGTTGCCAAAAAGCACAGCGCGATTCATATAAGACATTAACGTAGAGGAAAAAATTTCGGAGCAAGATTTAACTTGGTATCGGGTTTCGATATGAGTACTTTTTTCGATACCTACTCATTACTTGGCTCAAAAGTATCGATGCCAAAATTGCTTGGTATCGAACAAAAAGTATCGAGTATGTACTTGTATTTACTCGTATCGTTTCATCCCTACTTGTTACAGGCAGACATTCGTGAATATGTCGCATTTAAAGTTGAAGGAGTCCTGGTAAACACAAAACCCGCCATCAAGTATCTGGGTATCATATTAGATGCAAGGCTATGTTTCAAAGAACACATTGAATATGTTTGCGAAAAGGCTGCTAAAACATGCCGCGCTTTATCAACAATGATGCTCAATTCACGTGGTCCCTAGCAGAACAGAAGACGTTTTTAGCCGGGGTACTGTAGTCGGTATCCCTGTATGGTGAGCAAGTTTGGGCCATATCAGTGTTGCCACGGACAAATTTTTTTACCTACCAAAATTTTCTACCAAATCCAACCAAAACCTACCAAAAATTGTGTTGAGTTTTTGTTTTTTATTTTCGATGTCCAGTTTATTAAAAGTTTAGATAACAAAACATTTAGTAAAACTAAAACGCAGCTAGTACAATAAAACCAAATTAACTGTGTACAACAATTCATTTTTCTGTATAGGCTTATACAAATGTCTCTTTACACATACATATTATTGTTATTACGTCAGGAATACTCACGCTGCGAGATGATAAGATTTATTGTGCTGAACGCAGCCCAGAAAACTTGAAATCCGCCTCTAGAGAAAGTCCTATTTTATTCAAATTGTACCCTAACTTGCAGTGGCCTGTTAGGAGAGTTCTAAGACTCTTCCGACCCACCACAGCGTTACGTCCCCAAGCCTTGATGCCATTTTAAAAGAGTCTAAGGCCTTTAACGCTGCCCGACTTGCTGACATAATATTTATTCTGGCCCCATTTGTCCTTCTACGAAGACAGTCGCGAACACCGACTTCGATTTCTCGAAGACTGGAACATGATTAGGTATGTTCCTATTGACTTTTCTGAAATCGTGGTGCAAGTACGCCTACTCCCGTCGTCCATATTCGATCCGTCGGTAAACCATACTTGGGACCCTTCGTCATTAATAGTTATTTATCACACCACTTTCAGAAATTCTGACTATGAGAATCTTCAAATGAACCCCCGAGATCTCCATTTTTCATACTAATCGTATTGGGCAGCCGTAGATCGCTCCAAAAGCCCTCTTTTTCAATCAGAATAGACAAAGGAATAATACCTGTCATGACACCAAGGGCATCCGTTTAACAGGTGCGCTTAGCTCCTGTGATGACCACGCGGACCAGTTGGTGCAGCTTGCTTATGGTGGCAGCCGCGTTTACTTGCTTAGCTTTTGGCCACCAGGCCAGTGCCGCATATAGTATAACAATGGTTTTTACTACCGTTTTGAAAGACCAAAACGTTATTTTGGGTGATATTCCCTAAGTCTTACCACGAAGTCTCTGACGGGCACAAAAAGAGTTTTAGCCTTGCTCGTAACATTCGAGAAATCTGAGTTCCAATTAAGCCTTTTGTCCTGAGTTACTCCTAGATACTTCGCCTATCGGCAGCCAGTACGGAAACACGCTACATCAGAAACCTTTTCAAGAACGTCCTACTTCTCAATTTGATTCAAGAACACCCTATTTCAGAATTTGATTCTGGCAAATATTTTTTTTTATTTTCACTTTTATTTCAACATATTTTGATTAAAAGAAAAATACTGACAAAAATAAAATATTTCACACAAAAAAAAAATATATTTGTTATGTATTTATCTATTTTATTTTTAATATTTTTATTGAGCTTTGTACCACGATTGTTTACTAGGAAAAATTGAAAAAGCAACAAAGTCTAAGCGGTAGAAGTTATTAGTAGCTATTTCGGAGATCACCACATCTCTTCATCAGACATCTTTTTTTCTAGACTTCAGCAGGGATCTAACCTGCGAATTCGATGTTCAAAGTCAGAAGCGTTAACCACTGAGCT